CAGAGCTCGTCAGTGTTCACCAGTATTACTTCTATTCAGAGCACTACAATCATGAGGCCAAATCCCTACTAGTAGGTAAAACACTGAAGGCACCTGTGAGAGGGTTTTATTGTTTACAGAAACCCGAGTTGGTGTCCCAGGCAGCAACGGCCACGGGCGAAGCCAGGGCTAGTGTTGACTGCGTCCATTCTCATATATGAGAGACGGTGAGACAGCGATGGCAGCTGCTTTTATACATTTTTAGAGCAAGTTCAAGTGGTTGCCCAATGGCGTGTTGTATTTTCATAGCCTTGCGTTTATTGAACTGAGGATATGCTGCCTCGCCACCTTTTTCTAATTTGGTTCTCTTTAAAATGGATTATTTTCCGCATGAGTGGATTAATTCTAAGATCTGTTATAAGCTTGCCAACCGCAAAAAAGACTGGCCATACATATGAACATTTTTTGAAATACTTATTATTCTTCTGTCTGTTCTGTTTCTAAATAACGCACAAGCGTAAAGTATAGTTTACACAAAACCAAATGACTTACATTCAATAAGGCCTTCCTTACATTACATTCGCGGTAACATATGTGACACTTTGCTACTGCGTTAGAAGAGCGGTGCGGTAAAACAAAATTTCCGAGGAAAATTTTTTTGTTAATGCATTTTGTGGAAATGAATTGCACAGTATAACTAAACATAATTTTTAAAACTTAAATTCTTGCTTGTTTCTGAAAATAAATGCGATTCCTTAAACTTGGCTTCGCTTACATTTGCTCAACTTCGCACAAAATTTTCCTGTTCTGGAAGGGATAATTTTTCCACTTTTTCTACTTATTCTGGAATTCTTCTATAGCACAATGCATACTACTAAAAAGTTTGGTTGTGTCCTACCTTATAGCAAAGGAAATTTCTTCGTTATAAACTTATGCATGATTTAGCCAAAATTAATGCCCTTTTCGCTCCATGAGGGCAATTTTCCAAACTAAAGCCTTTCTAATTATCAAATCCACTCAGTTGATCAAAATAACCTGGCAAAATATATGCTAAATTACCAAATTAAATTTCGTCATGAAAGTTTCTTGCAGGACTCGCAATGCTGTTCTTCTTATTTGTTTCTAATTGCTATCTGATTTTACATAATATTGGATTTTTTTTCAGTACACTTCAAAAGTATAACTAGAATTCTCGTTTATGGCTTCGTCTGTGGAGGCCGCCAAAGACCAAAGTCCGGGTCCAACTTTGGTTTTCAAATCACTCAATTATTAGTCAGCATTTCAGTGCAGTTCATGTGTGTACAAATCCCCGTCTAAATTCAGATGCCTGCACATGCTACTGTGAGTTCTGCACTTCGATCTCCAGGACACGGGTGAACGTTGGATAACTGTGGGAAAAAAACCGGAAGGGCTTCGTCTTTGTGCTAGTTCTTTGACCCGTAGCTGTTCTTTGTGTAATTAAGCAAGTTGGGCTTGTTCTAATTCGTCCTACTCACCTTTTGGTTTTGGAAATTTGAAGCGCTTTTGTCCTTTACGTAGTCAGCTTCAACGTAACATCCCTACTTGCTTTTCCTTGAAAACTGACCATACACATTTGAGATTTTTGTAGGAACGTGAGACGGCCAATCGACTAACATCATGTCTGTCCGTTCATTAATTCTCTCTTTTTGCAGTGTACAGCATTGTCCATTGCACAGTTTTATGCGCCCTACATTGTATCTTATTAAGGGCACAGAGAAATACAGGATTTTCCATATATGTAAAGTATTCAGGCTGTTGTTCGGAAACCCGGGACGCGAGTGCTACGGTAGGTCGCGTTAAAAGCTATTCGGAAATTGAAAAAAGAGAATGTAAAACCGAAAACTGCCCTTCTTTACGATAATAAACTAAAAGAGATATTTTTGTGTATGTGCGTGTGCTATGAAGGAGAAAGAAAGAGTGCTACGACTTATTTTAGGAATATCATTGGAAAAATTTTCAGCAGAAACCTCTTCAACTCACCGTGAATAAAATTAGGCGCACAATCCAGATTACACCAACCCCTAATGGCCGAACACTGTAGCTGCCAACATCATGACTAATCGTCCCTGAATGTGTCGCAAAATTGAAGTAAAATTGGACTTCTTTCAGAACGGTGCTAGCGCCGTACGCCAATGACCTCATGGTTTTAGTTCGAATAAACAAAGGAGTGGGTAAAATTCGATTTACAGTGGACGCAATAGGCTAACCGATGTATATGCATATAAGAAATGGAGAGCAGAAACAAATGGCAGTTCAGTGCCGAAAGCTCGAACAGAAACTGTATCTACAAAACGTACTTGACTTTATAAAACCATTGAAAACAAAGAAAAAATGCGTACTACGCAAGTAGCCCGTTTTAAAGCCAGCGTGTTTTTGTTTTGCAGGTGACCGGAAAGAGGCCTTACCAGTACCCTGGTGTGACCGACATGCCTGGGGATCCAGTTGTATGATAATTACGATATTACAGTTCCACCCAAGCAGCCGTTTCTCAGCAACAACACATTTCAGATTTGGGGTAATACTGCCTAAGTTACGCCCCCCCTTGCGACGATTTGTTAGTCAACGTAGGGGCCACTTATTTGGCAGCAGTAATAGTAGGCTTTAATTGGAGACGGTTAAACTACCCGCGGGGGTGATTCATAGGTGAGCACAGTCTTCCCGAGGGTTACGGTTGTTCTTGTTCAGACGACCACGTGTCGGTTTTCCGGACCTTGTACACACGAGGCCCCAGCATTCTGTCTTACGGGACCGGTGTTATTAGGGGGTTTTGTGACTGGCAAAATAAGGTAGAAAGTGAAGGAAATTTGTAAAATGTGGTTGAATTTGTTTACCGCTTCCGCTCTATAACCGCGCTTTAGAGTGCGCACATCTAAAAATTTGCAAAAAGCACAGCATTTAATAAACAAGCCAGCGTAAGTTTGTGGCAGGTCAGGAACCCGTGAGCTTAATAGCCAAAATGCGTG